TAAGTGATTAGTCTTCGCTTCCGACTGTTTACCGAACCTCTCCGACACGATTCACCAACAAGTTCGCCACCGGCGAATAGGGCGTACGAAGGCTGGTTCCCTTCGCAGTCTTTCAAGGATCTTTGTAAGGAAAATGCTACTGACTCCTCCAAGGAATCTGAATGTTTCCTCGGATAAAATTTGGTCCAAGAAAACAGCTGTTGAGAAGATTCTTGCCAGGATGTATTTATGCAAAAAAAATCGCTTCTGCATCTACCACCACATCTACTACTAAAAATAAGAAAGTATTAACGATTGACGTTAGCTTTATGAACAAAATATTGATTGTCCCCGTCTGCACGTTTAGTTGCTCAGCGTTGAAGACCAAACGAAGTGTGTTATCGTTTTTTGGTCAGTTAGGATTATGCAGCGTAAAAATGCCACCCAAATATTTTTGAAGAAGAAAGGTAGTCATCCAATCAAAGCATTTCATGCAATGCACCCAACGAAGTCCTTCAGCCAGATCCAAACTGGTTCAAAGTCATAAGATATGAAGAAATTTAAGGACGGATTTGCACTGCATTTACCCTTTCTGATTTTTTGATGGTTAAGCAAGTGAGACGGAAAATTACTGGCCGAGAGTTCCGTTCTGGGAATCCAACCTTTGTATGTCGACTGATCGTGCAGAGACTTGGGCAGCTTGGTACTGTCTCAGCGCTCATGCTTCCTAGAATTATTCTCATTTGAAAGACTGGCTGTTGACCATGTGGCAATTGATCTGTTTGCGTAGCTTGACATGGTCGCAAATGAATGGGCCATGCATCCACTTCCGCCTGCATTTCTATGGTTTCTAAGACGCGGTTAATAACCGCAACGTGACTGGTTGTCTGAAGACTGTCTGATACTTAATTTAAATGGGCATTTTGGGATTCACTCTGCTTTGTTGATCGCCTCACGGAATAGAGCTATTTCAGTAATTCTGTTCGTTCACTGCGGCTGGTCCACTTTGCTCGTTTTTTCTTCCTCTGCATTCTGTCGTTGTTTCATATGAGTGGTCAATTAGACGCCTTTTATTTTTTTGTGGTCCCTTGCTTTGATATGATTGATCCGTTTGAGGTAGTTTGTAGTCTATGACCGTTTCACTGGGTACCTTTTTTGCTGAAACAATCTCCACTACAACAGTACATCTCAATGTGAAATTAATCATAAAGTCAGCCCGGTGTCAAGAGTCAGCTCGATGCATTGGTCAAAGCCAGAAAGTTTTGTCACGTTTGCCTACTCATAAGAGGTCAGCCCCCAGATCTCACAAGCGATGTGCGTACTCAAATGCACCAGCGATTAATTGAACTACTCATTAGTAGGCAAACGTCATCGACCTTTTAACACCCCCCGACCAAAAGCTCCATCGGATAATTTACAATGTGGTTTCCTGTGAAATGCTCACATCTACGTGAACGTGAAATTTTTCGTTGGTCATCGTTGGATACGGAACTGCCTAGAATCAATGATAACAGTGCTAATCGCTTGTGCGCAATTGTTACAACAAACTGCTTGCGTTGAGCCGGGTGTGCTGATGCGGGGCTAGTGTGCATTCAAAGCAAACTCTAAGGAATGCGATCAGTAGGCAAGCTCACAAATGCCTATAGGCAGACGCTAGCCTACCCAAGCACGACAGAATTACAGTGGCAACGATAATTTGCTAGTGTATTCCAGTAATTCCCCTCCTTTGTATTGCCATTCTACGATTCCCTGACACAAAACAACACAATAGGATCTGTGAGAGGATGACTCACTTCATTTGATAAACAGGCATCACAGTGCATCAAGGGAGCAGTTTCATCGGTTGGAAACTGGAGAGAACTCATATGAACTTAGCCATCTAACGCTTTGCTTGGGAGCGCTTGGGCCTCGCACCTGCAGATGCGTCCAAATGTTGCACAACTCTATAATCTAAACAATGTTGGTCTTGGTACTCTGGTTGCGAGCCGCTTCCGAATGTCTTGCTTAAGTGTGATTACCGAGATTCTCTGGGCTAAGAATATGTCTCACATTAATACAAAGACTTTCGCCAGTGGTTTCTCTCCAGTTTCCGATTCTCCCATGATTTAAATTGAAATGAGTGTTCCCACATACCACATGAGTTTTGTCGCTCTATCGTTGTTTCGGCCTTCAGTAGCTTCGAAAATTATTTTTGAGGTGCTCACATAGGATGCAGCGAAACGTAGTCATTGGATCAGTCTTCAGAGAGTTACCAGGGTAGCAGAGATTTGAGCAGCAGGCTATCCACTGCCATTCATTTCTACGCGCGATGAATTTTGATGTCCCTCAGAAGCACGTTTTCCGAAAACAAGCGTTTTGAAAGTACTTATATTTTTCCAAGACCGGTTATAAGAAACGGGGATGACGACCTTAAGCACTGCCATTCTGCTTCAAAATATGCCAGTGGAGGACAAGCACCACATAGAAGTTCGAGTCGCGTAGCATTCGTCTGGCTAGAAGGCGCGTTAAACTGGATAGGTGACCATTCTGACTATAGTGAATAGTGATACCACCAGAGTGGGGAGGTGAGTCTTTTACACAGATATCTTCAGTTTTGTGAGCTCTCATTTGCTTGGATGTCTTGAAGAGGTTGTAGGCGCAGGTCCGAAGGCTGTTTTCAATGAAGACGACAATTCGGATACGGTTGTATGCTTCCTTGTTGCAGTTCATCGAAAATTCATTCATTAGCTCGCGCAAGTTTTCCATGAGGGTGATTATTGTGGTTCTAAATTCTTTTTGGGAATGAGGTATGACAGCTTCCTCATTACTCCACTAAAATCTGCATAGTTTTGTGGGTATATGGATGAAACTAACGTGTGCTTTTCCTCAAACCGTTCCAGTTCATCATCACAAATATTTCCGGTGCAGCTTCAAGCCCAGGTGTAGCTTCGGTTCCGACCGTCTGTTGGATCGCACCTGCTTAACTTCGGCCGCATTTGCCGAGCCTTTTGGTTTTCCAACGTCTGTTCGCACAAAATGTCTGCGTCTACTACCCAGATGGGTTCATGTCGTTTTTCCCGGAATTAAACCGCGTGTTAGTAGTATTGGTATGCCCCACAACTGCGTACATAAAAAGGAAGTTCACAATTGTTGTTCACCGAACAAGTTCCAAAGAGATCTAGTTACTTCTTTCAAGTTTCCGAATATTGGCCAACCTAAGAATTTGAAACAACAATGGTTAATCTTATTCGCAAAATGACGTTCAACGCTAATTGTTAAGCTAATTTCCATCCTCTGTAGAATGAGACCCCGTTGGCGCACCTAAACACCAACAAACTTGGCAAAGCACCCCCTTTCACCTGTCACAGAATGATGCGGTTTGGCTCACCAACAATTCTTGCAACCAGGATTCTGGGTACTGCTGATCCAACCCTGAATTCTCATTGGGGGTTCCTTGGGACTGCTGCCCAGAAGAAGTTTGATTTGGTTCCAACTTAAGAGTGTTTTCCTTTTCCTTCCATTCACGGTTTACTGAACGCCGCAGTATCGATCCCATACCGTTTGAGTACGTTAACAACATGTGCTGCCACCACTCAGGCCTATCAGTATTCTCTTTGTCTGCTTTTTTGGGTTCAATAACTGTCTTCGAGTGATGTTCTTCCTTTGATAAAATGTCTTCCTATTCGACTGCATTTTTAAACATAGGTTCGCTTCTGGTTGTCTTGGATGGTTTTCGACAGTTTGCCTACATTTTCAACGTCCTGGGCCCATCCCTAAAATAGCGACCAGTACAGTTTTCCTGAGGAAACCCGTTAGCAGCCAGTGACACCGATTTCTGACTCACTTGGCTGTTGTGAGTTGGCCTAGTCATAGAACACAGAGTGTGTCATGGATACTTCGCTTCTAAAGCTGCTGCACACAGCAGGTCCATTCTGACGGGCATCAAACTCTTGGTTTTTACCAGTTTTCCGACCGTATAAGTTGGTACACCGGTCGTCACGGTCAACCGTTGAGCGAGCGGAGAAGGCGGAGTTTTGTTCCTGAATTTTCCAACCTAGTGGAAAGTCAGCATTGCTATTTCAATAAATGCGGAAGTTCAGGTCATCTGTAGGGAACATATCCCTGTCCTCTCACTCCTTCCTCAGCGGACATTATGAATTTATGTCCAAGCTACCTCATAATACGATTGCTCGTAATATGAGGGCTCACTGCCTTTCGCCGTCCGTTCACCATTGGTCTTTCTAACAAGGTTAAACCCGAAGGAACAACTATTCTAGTCAGCGGTTTCCGCAGTGCAAACCCCGCAATTGAGGCCGACCACCGCGACAATGTAGAATACGGAAACTAAATATCCATTATTTCCTGGCAGTTCTGAATAGCACTACCCTGTTGCGTGACATATATGCATGTGCACTCATTTATTAGTTTGGTTTATATTTGTGATCACTTACCATAGTTTTGCACAGGGGAGCTTATCTGATAATCAGTTATTTTGTGTTAAAACATCACCAATGTTCTACCAACTAAAACCATTATCCGCATCGTCAAATTGGCCTCAGAATGGAGATCAGTTTCCGCGAAGTTCTGGGAAATACCAACTAAATATATGGCATGTGAATAGCTCAACAGTTTTTTTCTGGTTGAGGTTGTTTCACAAAGCATCTAAAATTCACAGCCAGAAGGTTTATGGATTAATCGTTTAAACTTCTTAGTGTCAGATAAGCTCCACTAAAGACGAAACTTACCAGGAACACGCAGACACTATCTCAAGTCTGCGTTTGAATTCAGGGCGTTCACAATGCTTACAACAATTAGAGCCTTGTTGCCACCGGCCAAATTTTGGGCCTCGCTGTGTTGAAGTATACACGTCAAAGATCTCACTGCATGGGTATACAACCTAAATTTGTTGTTTCAGCCGATAACCTTTAAATTAAACAATCAAGATGAATATCTGGGAAGTATTGGGGTGGTTTTACCAAAGCGTTCCATGCTGAAACCAGTGAAACTTACTCGGATCTTTTTTGTAATGCATTACTCATAAGGTTGCTGAAAACTCCTCGACAGCCCACGACCTGTTTCGCCCTTGTTGAGGCTCATCAGGTAGGCGCAGTCCCCGAGTTTTCGTCAACCTTATGTTTGCAAATAAGTGTATTTTGCTGATTTCGTGCTATTTGGTTTCAAGCAGAACATAATGCTGGTGAGAACTCGGGGAATACGCCTACCTGATGAACCCCATGAAGGACGAAACCGCTCGTGGGCTGTCGAAGAGTTTTCAGCAATCTTATGAGTAGTGTATTACAAAAATATACATGTATCGCGATATCTCGAATATCATAGCGACTGAAACTTGAGGCGGCTTGGAGTAACACATTTAGTTGCCTGGAAACATCCGAACCCAGAGATTCAGCTGGGTTCCAAGTGAATCTGTCGATAAACCAAATTAGTTTGGAAGTGAGTGTATTTCGCTGATTTTTTCGATCTTTATTTCAAATTTTTGGTGACAGCCTGATAACGATTTGTCACACAACCGAAGCTATATAAGGTATGCTGAACGTGACTACTTCTCGCCAAAATGAGGAGAAAATTATGTGTTTCCAGTCACCGATATCTGAAATGCTTGCATGGCATGCAGCTACCGCATCTTCAATGCTTAATATATGGCTTTTGACAGGATGTTTAGAGGATGGCCTTTTGACGGCAACGCCCATTCTAAAATTGTGTGCATAGACCAACCTGACTAACTATATTAGGTTGGAGATAAAAGAAATCCAGCCCTGATTTGACGAGTGCTCGAATACCATACTTATTTTTGTCAATACACATGCCTTTACACAAGTGCCTACTATCCTGAGCATCATTCTTTGACTTCTTTCAGAGCAAAAGTCATTCGCAAGAGACGATAGAAGAAGCTATGGAAAAATTGCCTGTGTCAGGGACGTCCATTTAGGTGAATTACATTGATTCACATGCTAGTGTAGACCTGTGTTCGTGGAACAAATCATGGTGAGCGGAAACGATAATTATCTCTAACTTACGATTTTTCTACTTGGTCGTAGACAGCTTAGCAGAATGCTTTGGCTCAGCCTGGTGAGCATTCTTAACATGAAACGGAATTCCCTGAGTCTGCTCATCCCTCCGAACACAGTCTTCAAATGCCTGATGAGATTGATTCGCGTGACACTAAAATAATATGGTTATTTGACCCTTCCGCTTTCGGCGTGCTGAATAATGCGCAGTACGAATTGATCAGCCAGCGTGCTTTTGGGGTGAATATATCTCGCGAAAACGTGACACTTAGAAAGCTAAAGCCGTTCAGTTACAGCTGGCACACGAGTGGTATAAAATCAAAGTATACTGTAGATGTTGGATTTTTGTAAAAATCAAATAGTGAAGTCCGTCGGTTATGTCGTAGGCGTTCTCATGATGCAGATACTCTCTCGACTTGCTGTTCTTTTCTAAGTGAAACCCGTCAGAAGCCCTTCAGTCGGTTGTGTCAAAATATCGGTGCCTAGTGTGCATTCATTGGCCGTTCGTCACGTGATTATTGATCGGCTCACCAAGCATGGTGAACGGCTTGCAAAACTTCCCACATCCCACAAGGTTGCATTTACAGGGAACGCGCTAACGATGTTGTCTCGCTTGGTAAAGATTCATTGTAAGAACTACTGACAGGTTTATTTTAAGACACAGTTCATTTTTATGAGGGTTTCTTTTCAAGTAGAAGCCAGTATGCGCTGAGCTGAGAGTGGTCCAATCTATAGAACATGTGCCTAGTGCTTGTAATAGTTTTCATCATACGGTCCCGTTTGAAGTTGTTGGTAAAATAAGGATCTACCGTACATACCAGAACGAAATAGTAAAATAAAATCTGTCCATAAGTAGAATCTCAGCAAAGGTAAAATTGTGTTTGAAAAAAATCTTAGAATTCGCGAGAGTCAATTGTTGAACTTTTTCACACAGCTGAGTCGGAGTAGGGATTTTGAACACAATATATTGAAGATGAAATGGGGTAATACGCCAATTGATGCCCATCTACCAGTTGTTTAGTCCAACGTGTGAAACACTTCAGTTCGCCGACGCACTGGTGCGGTGTTGTATTTAGAAAAAAAGTTGTGAACACAAACCATTGGGCGAAAGTTCATTAATACCGGGTGCCAGATGACTAAATCAAGACTGGTCTATGGACGATCATCAGCTTAACGAGAATACGTTGTCTGCCTGAGTGGCTCTTCCTTCGCTATCCGCGCACTGATTGCATCTCTTACAGGGCTTTTGCCAGTGCCAGGGTACGTGAACGGATAATCAAATTCAAGCTTTTCGTTCTAAATGTTCACTTAGGGAAGAGACGATAGAAAATCCTGAGATATGGGTTGAATGTTGAGCTTGTCCTAATTCTTCTATTCTGCCAAAACCAGTAGGCTCTGCTACTATCAGAAGAGCCAAAAATAGACAATTCATTTCTTTCCTAAGGGCACCTTTTTCTGTACTTTGAAATCGAGTTGTCAATTTAGTGACATTCCGTGGGACCTCGCGCCAAAACTGAGGTAAAAAACTCAGGGCCGTATTGTGATTTCGGTGGTTTTATTCTGCTCACCACACATTCCGTAACCCGTTCTGTGCCGTGACGTCAATCGTTTTGACTAAGCGGTAGGAAAAACCAAGCCGTTCTGCTTTCAGACAGAGAATGAGAGTGTATAAATATACCCCAATGGAGCCATCGTTCCATGCTATCGTTATACCCTATTCAAAGAGTAAATGGTCAGAAAATTCAACTAGCGCGATATTGACACGGTGTGTGACCAGATTGAGAGGTGTGGTGTGAGCCATCACTGACAGTACATCCCATGTTTGTTGCCTAGCTCATCCCACGTGCAAAAGGTACTAACGGTTAGTATCTTTAGAAATCAAAGTTTGAAGGAAGGGAAAACGAAGTACGCATCCAATAATGGGATGTCTTGTAAAGGCAGATGTGGAATGTTGGAACAAGCCACTTTGGCCATTGCGAACAGGCTAATTTTATACGCCTAATAGGTGAATAAAACTGAACTTAAGCACCGTTGGGACAGCGTCTACTGGCTGTGTCCATAAGTAAGAATGCAATCGATACGCCTACTTGACGTAGTAGCAGGAAGTATGCTCCGAATTGATTCATATCGAATAGAGAATTGTTCCTATCGTAAGGGTGAGGAATTGGGGCAGGAGGATGGTGATAGAACGGTTATGTGTATTTTAAATGTGACAGTCAGAAACTGATAAGTTGAACGTAGATGAAGATATATCATTTGAAAGGATGTGAAAGGATATCTTAATCGGTGTAGACAAAGCGGTCCGATCTTGATTTTGGTTTATCATTCTCGATATGATGAAAGGAGTACATGCCTTAGTAAAACGCTCTTTAGAGGAGGTTCCATTCTGTAAGTGAACCAGTCTGTGCAGTATACCCTAGACTCCACAGTTGTTTGCCCTTATCAGGAATCATGAACAGTACACATTTCGTGAAACTCCAAAAGAGATTCTCGGACCCGCAACGTCCCTGCTAGCGGTTCAAGCACCTAAGCGTTCGAGCACGAGTAACCGATTAACTCGCACTTCCATACAAAGCAAACTCTGAACGATCGATTGAATCATACACTTTAAAAGTTTGTGATAAAAAGCTCTCATTTTGAACGTGCAGCAAAGCTTTGAGTGAATATCGGTGAGTGAGTAAACTTTATGAACTTTCCTATTTACTGACCTGACTAAACACCTACTGTCCTCACTTTTGTTCGAGAAATTTACTCAGTCTACCCACCTATTCGTGCCACCTGCCTAAAAGACTCTCAAATACACGGGGTTGATTTTAACAGTTAGTTCTCAAAGCAAAACCGAAAACGCAAACAGCTGTGGCATATTGCCAACTTCGGTGTTTAGTTCCCTTCTGTTCCATAGCCAACCGAAATCAGTGATATCCTTCTATATAGAACAGACTATCATTGCCGTATGGCTTGGTGGCCCTCCAACATCCTCATGCACCTCCATCTTTCTGTAATTTATCCATCAAGGGGACCATAATCTACGCCATCTTGTCAGCCAAAATGAAGTTGTGTCGTATTATTCATTCATCAAAATGGGAGTCCAAATTACCGCTTTGAAGTACACTGTGTGCGTCAGCTAGAAAAACTATACCGAATATGTCTGATAGCACAGCAAGGTCACCGGTCTAGAAACCTGAAGGACACGGGACTGAATCCTACCCAAGCACTAATTCGTAATTGCAAATTAACGTGAAATAGTATGCAGTCCAAGACTTCCCCAACAAGAGCGCACCTAACCGTTTTGCAATAGTATATCAGAGGTCAAATTTAAGCGTAAATAATATCGTTGTTCTGAATAAGTTTATCGACACGTTCATAGTTGATAGATGATCTTGAGCACTCTAAAATGTTCTGTGGATCGACCAGATACTTTGAAGCTTTTCTTCACTGGAATTCTGGTAGAAACGCTTCAAGATTTTCCGCAATTGTTGGGAACCTTTCTTGAATGAAATTCAAGCTCAATTTCTTGTATAGAATTATGGTCATTCGTTTGAACACATTCTCACGCACTCCTTGATCACCAGTGCTCGAAAGCCGAGAAGTACTGCAGGGTCAATTTGTCATTGCTGGGATACACCAGTAGCGTGACTTTTGTGAATTTTGATAGACAGTCGTAATACTAGTCCCGGATAGGAGATGGGGACTCGACTTTTCAGCTAGGAACAACTTTCAATCAGATATTATATAGCGCTTAACTAGGCCTAGCTATCAGCAAAAGTTATAACTATATATATATATATAAACCTCAGTAGAAAAGACTTGTTTATTTTCTACGCTGGGCATATCATCTCCCTGGTGCTTTTTGTTCACCCTTCAGGCTACTTTGTTTGTGCGTGATGAATTACTGGGTCAGTCAGTTAATAGTGAAAATCCCCGCTTCAGGCGGCAGTGTGTGATTTATCACTTTTTCCGGTGAATCGATGGTCACTGTGATGGGCTTGAGAGAGGAAAACATCCGGTAGGCAAGGGATGTTGACTTTCAGACAAATTGTTAAATGCGTATATTTTGCAAGTCTGATTAACCGCAGTTGAACCAACGTTTGTTTTACAAAGACGGTGTGATATAAATATATTGCAGTCTGACTTCTTTTGCACTCCAAACGGTCAAAATTAGCTGACCATGTAACGGTTTTGAAAACTGGGGATTGCCTCAACACAACAACAAAGAAAGCTGCGCTCTCGACCTGACACAATGATGATGGCGATGATGATGGTGATGATGAATGTTGGGATGTTGCAAACACGCTTTGCTGATAAACCGAGAATGTTTCTAGGTAGATTTATNATTCCACAATGTTGGGATGTTGCAAACACGCTTTGCTGATAAACCGAGAATGTTTCTAGGTAGATTTATTAACCTGCTCTCAAAATTGTGGAATGTGAGAAGCTGGACTATAATAGTGTCGGTGGAAGACTAGACAGAATAGTGGAATAATATAACATTTTAAATGAGATCAGAAGAGTTTGGGGGGCCGCGGGCTTATGGTGTATTTGCATTCCTGGTCACATGTCAACTGCTGTGCTAGTAATTTAGTGTGTGAAGGCTAAGTTTTTATGGTTTTGATCACACGTATGCCTAAGCCGGCGTTGACAACCATTGTCTGTATGGTTGTGGCTGTTGTGGCCGTACTGGGTTCGTCAGTACGAATGACAATTTGAGATCCATATGATAACTGCCTACCATATGAAAATGAAGTCTGTGTGCCGGAGCTTATCAGCTAGAAACGTCTGACTGGCCGCTCACCTCCTCGATCTAGATGTTCCAGTTCACAGGAACAGGAGGACGAAGAATCGGTCACTGAGTCGATCTTTGATACTCTGAGCGTAGGCAGGACAGTTGGGGATAATCATCCAGAGTTGCCCCGCATCGTATGTTTGGTTTACGAAGTGGGTCAATCTTCTATGAAATTTGGGTCCGCGCCACCTCTTTATTTTCAGCCAACATGTAACAGTTTTGTGGTCCTGCGAACACATTACTAAAAACTGTTTCCCATTGCTCAGGATGTCTGAAGCAGGTCAAACAATAACCTGCGAGTGCGTCACAGGGGTAGGGATCGGCGTTCTGACACCCAAGCGGCTTACATGTATAAAAACGTTTTGAAAAAGAACTGGTTGAAACTTTTCTAAACGAAGTATTGTTATTATCTCAGAAGTCAATTTAAGTTAAGCACGATATGGCGTTAGTTTTCCCGAACTGGAAAAAATTGTCGTGGCCCGTATACCCGGAAAAACTTATTGATACCTTTGCTGATTGTTGTGTGCAACACCCAACAAGAACAGCAACAGCTCCTTTCATAGAACAACAAATGCACCATAATGCTCAAGTTCTGTGATGAGTTTAGTACAATGAGTAAGTGGATAAAACAGCTTGAGTCCGAAGTGTCGATACGAGGAGATTTGTACATAGCGAATATACACTCATTTACAAACTAATTTGATTTTTTCGAGAGACTCAACTGAAACCCAGCTGAATCTCTCGTTTGTGATGTTCTCAGGCAACTGAATGTGCTGCACCAGGCCACCTCATGTTTCAGTCGCTACGATATTCGAAATACCGCGATACATGTATATCTTTGTAACGTACTACTCACGGATTTTCAGCAAACTTATGAGCAGTATAGTAGTACAGTAGTAGTACATTACTAAGATTCGTACATAGTTCTCCACAGAAAATTGTCCAGAAATTATGGGATATGCCCTGAGAAACCAGCAAACCCTCAAATTGGTCTATGTCAGACAGTCACTAGAAGTTATCGAGTCACAGTATTATCGGGGATAAATTCCTTAGATAGGGATAATATCTCCTACACCCAACTAAAACAATCAAAATAAAGTCAGTTTTGTAGCATCGAAATAAGTAGTATTCGCCAGTATTTTCATGCCAGGCTCCTAATCCTGGCTGGAAATCTCAACTCCCACGACCTCGAAGCTAGTCGTACCTACAAAAACACAGTGATAGGCGGGGAGCTTAAATTGTGTTTAAGGTTTGATGCGCAAGAACTTCATCCAGTCTGTGGTAGTGACTGATTAGGGTACCGTGTGATGCTGGCCGTAACAGCAGTAGAAGCACTTCCACTCCCAGCCCTCGAGATGGATGCCCCAGCAAACGATTCATTGGCATACCTCACGGTTCTCGAAGACCAGTTACTACATTTTCCGGATAAAAGGTAAATTCCTTTTGACTAGCCACAAATGTCAGGGGTTATAGCAAACTGTTCCACCTTATTCGTTTGAACGCTTTTGACAAACCTCATACACAGCAGCTTAACTGAACTGATTTCTGATTGTGTGGGTGTGTAAAACGCCAAGCCAGACTTCCGAAGCACTCAGAATCATAGGCGAAATTTTCAGGATAATTATCTTATAAAACATTCTGTAGAAAAATGACGGGAATCACCTTCAAGGTCATACAATAGAAAAGCTTTGGTACACAGAGTGTCTCTCAGGAAATTCGTGAAGTTCTGTATAAAGTCGACAGGTAAACGGCTTCAAAGGATGTTATACAAAGCACAAAAAATGTGTAGTATTCGAAGGACTCGTAATTCTGAATTTTGATGCCTGTTCCTAAGAAGTATTTTATGATTTTATCCCAAGCAATCGCCGTGGTACACGGTTGAAAGGAAATTATTTTTCGTCCTTCGATTTAAACACGATTTATCAAAAAGTGAAAAATCAGAATGGACGAAAAGTGTTGCGGGCGACTCTTCAGCTCGCAGCGCTTTTTTAAAGATCGCCACAATTGAGGGGCCATTTATTATCCCTTTTTCTGTTTCTGGATGGGCAAGTGGTCCCTTAGGATTTCAGGCTTATTTGGAAGCGGATGTATTACCCGGAGGTCAAGGGAATTGTTCGAAATCTCATAACTATCTCGTTCGCTTTTTTCCTAACTGAAGAAATTTCACCAATCATAAGCGAGTTGTAACCATCGAATCTGAAAGAAAACTAGTAATCTGCTGAAGCAATGATGGTCCTGGGACACTTCAACATGGTACGACATCGTAGGGTAGGTTGACCCAATGACAGAGAGCCATTGCATTACTTCTTGTGGTTGACCGAGTTTACCGGGGGTTCAGTGGGAAATCGCGTTTGCAGTTCAGGCAATTGAGAAAAGCAGGCACATAATTTCAGGCTTCGAATGACCTGTTCCAATGTGTTTAGCAGATAGTTCTGCCCAATACAATGTTAGCCGTCCCAAGCAAAAAATCGTTCTGGTCTTCTTAATATGAATCATAGCTACTGAACCGAACAAGGGTGGTTAACTTAGTTTGAACATCCTATTAGATGGTTCTGAGTATGTTGAGGCTGTGCTTGGGGCTCCATGCAACTGTCTACAACGAACAAGCTCCGACTAAAACTCAAGATCGAGAAGAGGAAACTTCTTCCATCCAGAATAGATATAATGAAGGCCCATTCAAAATTATTTCGCACACTCAGGTTTGTTCTTGGACGGAACCCTTGAAACGCCTTCTCCGATACGAATCCTACAAATTGAAAATGCTCTACCAAGATATTTTGAATTCTACGCATACATAAACCCGTTGCTTGTCTAGTTCTGATCTGTGAAAAAGCGAGACCTCAATCTCAGGAAATAGGAAGATCTGATGGCTGGATATTTTCACTTTTTGTCAGCTGACCAGGATACCCAATATTTATTGGCATACTTGTCTCTAACCTTGAGCTGCATGCAAAATATTTTTCAGAAAATGAGAACAGTAGTCCTGCAGTGACTGCTCCAGTGGTCCGGACAACCACCATGGGTATCACTGGCAGGACTCAGGGTGATCATATAGTGGCACGCGGGTTTCACTGCACAATCAAATCTGATGTCGATTGGCTGGGTCGTCCGCACGTTCAAAAAAGACGTGACGCAGACTTTGCTTCGGGTCACCATTTTCGAGTTGTTTATCTCTGAGGCAGCAGTAGATTGGGCTCGTTTACAAGCCAGAGGAATCTGTCCTGAAACCAACTTTTTATATATACCATTTAACTGGGACAGGCATTGCCTCTTCTGGAATCATTTACAGGCTGGTAATCAGAATCGACTTAATTTGAAGTCATAAGAGCAGATAATTGAAGACCATTGAAAAGGAACACACATATACCAGTTTACTTAAATGCATCATCCAAGAAACTACACAGAACACGTTTTTCGTCTGAGTAGTACATTTTATCGTTTAGTAACTCATTCATCAGCTCCATTAGCGCAAGGTTGGCAACCGCAGAAATCTCTATCAATGAAGCAAAAGAACCGTTTCTGTGAATTAGAAGAGGATGGACACAAATTACCGACTTAGTTGGGTACTGAACCAATTCCAAAACTACACCTTTTTGCTGGTAGTGTGAGGAGATTTGGGAATTTGTGGAGACTTCGTCCTGCAATTGAAACCAGTCTATGCTGAAAAGCCGAGAAGCACTGTCCAACCGTTTCATCCTTATCGGGAATCATCAGGAGTGCGTAAATCACAAAACTCCGGAGATTTACGAACCCGCGACACCCCGGCTAGTAGTTTGAACAATTAACCGTTCGGCCACGAGCGGCTGAGCAGCAGTTAAATGCGAAGTGTTCAAACTAATAGCCGGGAGGTCACGAGTTTGAGACTCTTTAGAATTTCGTGAGATGCGCACTGCTGATGATTCTCAAGAAGGATGAATCAGTGCTTCTCGGCTTTTCAGCATAGGTTGGCTTCATTTAAAGGACGAATTCTACGCCGGTTTGTTCAAAATCAAAGTCACTTCATCTAGTGCTCTCTCAAAGAGACTGAATCTTATCCCAGGGTGATGGTCGATGTGCCTTCATAACCAATTGAGCTAAAGCGTGCAATGTAGGTGTAACGCACAGGCTCTCACATGAGTTCCGTTGCACAGCTTTCCCTGCCCGGAGGCCAGCCGTCCCTAATGATCGAACATCACACCATTTGGACGGATGTGTCGCGTGCAGGACACGGATCAAACGAATGCATGCCCTGATTGGTCAGAATGCCAGCCAATCCGGGGAAATGGCTTTGATGAGGTCACCAAACTAGCGTACTTTACATCACACTAATGGAGTCACTCTGCTCAAAAGCCGAGACGCACTGTACAGCTGTCTATTTTGCTGAAAATAACCAATGGTGTAAACCTCAAAGGTTCATAAAAAGTTCCGGACCAGTGAAGTTAGGATAACAGGTAGATTGTAAACCAACGGCATACGAGTTTTGACAAAACATTCTGGTTCACTTTCACTATCATTCTCTCTCAGTCATGCAGTCTATTTTACGTTGTTTTATTCCAACGTGCTTCTCATGAAAATTGCTAAACTGAATTGTCCATAAATCTTGTAAATTTCTTTTTACTTCCTCATCAAATTACTTTTAATTCGTAGGTAGCAAGATAAGCTTGTGATCTCTGCAATTGCTTTTTATTCTCATGTTACCATTTTTGGCTAATATTATATGCTTTCGGCCACGCGAACAAAGCTACCATAAGGAATTAGTTGAAGTTTGGTTTAGAGCTTCCAAGCATACAGCAGTAGCGAATGCTGAAAATTTCTACATTTTAATTAGCTAGACTACACACTTCCTGTGGATAGTATGTTCCCGGTTCTATTTCTAGTCTTAATCCACTTAAACAATGAAGTTTGTTAAACTTGCGCAACCACAGGCTACAAGCAATGTTTTCTGCCCTCCAGCAGTGATGTTTGTTGCGAACAAAGCGTCAGAGAAACACTTGAAAACCCTAAAGATGTTCCAAAAGGTTATTCCGGTGTAAAGTAAGTTGACATGATTAGAGGACTCAACCAAATCCCAAATGAGCATCCCCTTTAGGGCTTTTTTTCTACCGAAAGTACTGCCTAAAAGATGCCTCAGATTAGAGTTGGCAGGACATTTGTGATGTGAAATCGCATTTTTGGACACATTCTTACTCAATATGTTACTAAAAACCCTTCGACAGCCCCCAGAATGTTGCGCCCTTCCAGTTTGGGTTTATCAAGTAGGAATAGTCATTGACTGTCTATCAGTCTTATTCTCGACTTGAACACTAGTTTTGACAAATTTACGAATTTTACAAAAGTTACGGAACACACCAAGTTGCAACTCATTTTGGTAGCGACGGGCTATTCACATGAATTCTCTCAGAATTGTTTCTTAATGGTATCCTTATGATATGATGTGCACAATGGCTACAAATCTCATGTGTACATCGATCGGGTGGCTGGAACTCACGCCCGATAGTGGTAGGGGATAAGAATTCAACGTTGTAGGTAAGGAGACAATAGTCTGCAATGAGCCATTCATTTTAAACATCGCCTCCATAATAAAACCACAAGTGACTTAACGTCCAAGCATGGATTGCAGTGTTGAAGGTTCAAATCACCATGGGATTCAGGGCATGCACTTTGTTAGTGATTCCCAGCAATGTCCAACCTTTTGTACGGTGCTTCTTGAGTTTTCAATTTTGGATGAATGATAATGTGGGAAGGTTTGGAATTTTCAGTAAACATTTCGTCCTGTAAATGAAGTCAATCTATTCTAAAAGACCGAGGAGCACCGTAGAGTTGTATTCTCCTTACTGGAAATCAAAAGTTGTGTGAGAATTCAC